CTTTACTTTGGGCTTTAGATATAATGCCTAGGGATGACAGCTTCAGGTTGGGAAATACCAGGAGATTTTGGGGGTGGACCCTAAGGAGGGCAGGGTTTGAGAAGGGGAGGGACCTCAGTGGGGTATAATGCCGTAGTAGAGTCCACCTTCCAAATCAGCCATTGTTTCCAGGTGAGCTGATCTCTGCTATCTGGAGATCAGTTGTAATCCAAGGAGCTCTCCAGCCAGCACCTGGAAATTGGCAACCCTAATAATGCCCCGGCCTTGCATAGATATTATAAGCTCCATAACTGTGGGACCTTTATTGGTAGGTAGTGCTGGTTTTATTCTGGAATCTGATGAGCCTTTAGTGGACTATATATTAAAATACTTCTGCTGCCCCAAGGGGACCCCCCCCCCCCCAGTGGGTCCTGAGTATACAGGGATTAATCATCGTCCCTTGAGGCTTCTGTCTCTGCAACAGCAGGTGAAGAGGGAAGGAGGAGTGGGGGCTGTTCCATGATCTACAGTATGAGAAGATGAAGGAGCTGTACAGCAGGAAGATTAGAGCTACTGGTGTCATTATCTAACTTGTGGGGAAGTGGGTGAGGATGAAGTTGCTTAAGGTTAATTCTGCCAAGCCATGTGGAGAACTGCATCTGGGGGAATAATGTGTTGACCATTTTAATACAGTATGGGAACTTGGGGGGGGGGTGAGAATAGGCATTGGAACATGCACACTACCTGTAGCTCCTCTCCGGTTGTTCCACTGCATTATCCGTTTCTGTTCTTTTCTCTGTACAGCTCCTAGCAAAGTGACGGTCTATGTGGACACCTTGGATGGAAAGGGTTAACACCGAGGATTCCTTGGGGAAGCACTGCTAAGATCCGGGGGGTGGGGGGGCACGGGGGAGAGGCAAGGCATCCCCCCCACCCCACCCCATGAAGACTGGAGAAGCCCGGGCATCCTGAAAGGGGAAGCTATGCCACCTGCCTCCCTTCCTCCCTCCCTCATCCTAATGCTGTTATAGCCCAAATTGTCCTGGATGGGGCTGAAGTCTCACCCTCCCCGCCCCCTCCGATTTAATGCTCTGGTTTTTAATTTCTTCACATGGTTTTTAATTTCTCTGGATTCCCCTGAAAATAAAAGTGAAAAAAAGAATTTATTTAAATTCACCTCTCTGTTCGTATGTGTTTTTGTTTCCTATCCAGTGCACTCTAGGATTATTGGGATAGATCACACAATTAGGGAAGGAGAAAGGAATTTCTGGAAGCAGCGCAGGCTGTGGGGCATCACTAGAAGGAAGCAAAAATATTTGATTTAGAAACCAGGTTGTTGTTTGAACATCTTATTACTGCTAGATGCTGAGAAGGCTCATTTACATCTGTGGTGGCGAAGTTTTCCTTTCTGTACCAGTTTACTTTTTGCCTTCCCAGTGAGGGGACAAGCTGATGTGGCTTTTCCCTCAGTGATTCTTTTGAAGGGACACATTTACAACCTGGCAGCTATCTAGTTACCTAGAATAGGGATATGGAACCTTTTGGGCCCAAGTGCTGGAAAAAACACATCCATGTTGGTGTGCCATCAAAATAAAAACATTGGGGGGGTGAGATACTAAACAACCTGTTGGGCTGACTCCTTACTTTAAAAGCATATCATTCTTTCATAAAAAAACCTGGGAGTTGATGTAGGCAGGCAGTTGCTATAATAAGAGCAGTCAGTTGATACTGGGTGTGTCTGGGTTGGTTCATGTTAGGGAACAAACAGAAGTAGCTTGCTGTATCCCGGGGAAGACTGGCCATGGCAACGCTAATAACTCCTTGCTGGGGTGAGGGAGGACTCTTTAGTAAGAATGATCCTTTACTGGGGCTTGAATTAACCTAAACAACTACCACCCAGGGGCTAATATTCCATCTTTGGGCAAGGTAGTGGCTCTACAGCTTCAGGCAAACTAGGAGGAAACAAGACTATCTGGATCCGTTTGGGGATGGAAACACCTTGGTTGCCCTGACCTTTGCCAGAAGCATGATGGGGAGCTGATTTTCCTGGACCACTCAGCAGCTTTCGATATTATCAACTACGGTCTCCTGGAGAGGCTGGGAGCTGGGGACACTGTGATTTTGGTAGTTCTGCTTGTACTTGGCCAACTGATTCCAGAAAGTGTTGCTGGGGAATTCTACTCAGCCCTGTGGCATTTATACTATGGTGTCCCACAGGGTTCCATCTTTTCACGTCATTTAAAATCGACATGAAACTGCTGGGAGAGGTCATCCAGGAATTTGGAGGTGCCACCAATATGTGGATGACACCCAGCTCTATTTCTCCTTAACAGCTAAGCCACATGGGCAGTCCTGAATAGGTACTGGGATGGATGAGTGCCAGTTAACTGAAGCTCAGGCCAGAGAGGACTGAGGTGCAGTTTGTCAATGGAGAAGCTGCTTGGAGATTGTGGAGTCATTCTAGTCTTGGAAGGGGTTGCATTCCCTGCGAAGGAGCAAGTTTGTAGCTTGTAGGTGTTACTAGATCCTGACCTACTGTTAGAGACTCAGGTCTCTGTGACATGTAGTGCTTTTCTTCATCTCCAGCTAGTTTGCCAGCTATGGCTGTTCCTCAAAGCATGATCTGGCCACAGCGATCCATGCTCTGATCATGTCCAGGTTAGAGTATTGTACTCTGTGCAGGGTTGCCTTTGAAAATGGTCTGGAAACTTCAATTGGTCCAGAATGCAGCAGCCAGGCTACTTTCAGGGACTGGTTGCAGGGACTCAAATCACTCCAGTTGCAACAGATCTGGCTCTTACCTTTAAGGCTGTATATGGACAGAATATCTCAGGGAACATCTCTTCCAAACTATCCAGCCTGCCTCTCAAGCCTTGCTTTCTGTGCCTTCAGAGGTGAGGCATGAAGTGACTAGAGACAGGGCATTTTCTGTGGCAGCACCTTGCTTTGGAATGCCCTCCCCCTTGAAGCTCGCCTGGCACCTTCTTTACTTCCACCCAGGCACCAGGCCTAAAACTCACCTTTTAACCCAGGCTTTTAATTAAGGGGTTTTGTCTTACAGCCTTTAGATGGTCTGCTCTGTTCTGAGTAGTTTTTATGCTGCTCATGTTTTCTGGTTTGTGTTTTAGACTGCAGTTTTTAATTGAAGGGATCTGGAGCAGGACTCTGAAGGGGTGGCAGAAATACTACAGATAGTGTTAGTTACAAGCAGTATGGAAATCCCCGCGGTCTGAGCTCTTGGTTTGCATACCTCTGGTGGTCTGGCTCTCCTCGGTACAAACTCTGTTTTGTTAAAAGATAATTTATGGGACCTTTATATCATGGCCTTAATCACTGACAACTTAGCGTACCTTAACTCCCAAACATTTTCATCTGAGTTTGTGGTGATTTGGTTCCCCATTATGGAATATCTGACAAAAGCTGATATTCCTGATGTAATCGACACTCTACATCTGTGATCATTTTGAAAGATATTTCGTACTGTTAATATCCGGAATAAAACGGAGGAAAGGGGAGATAACAAAATGACAGACGTGGCCAGTATAACATGCCCAGGAAAAGAAGACATCATTTGAGTAATGAGAGCACACAGAAAAAGCAGCCAGACGTGTGCGTGAAAGAAGAGGTGGGGATTGTGGTAACTGGGAGTCTTTGCTCAAAAAATGTGCCTCAAAGTGAGTTTATGCTCTTTTAATAAGGGAGCAGATGATTAACCTGACATTTTAATGAAATCGTTTTAACCTGGCAGACGAGGATTCTATAAACGGGCATTTTGCCCTCACTGAAAATGGCTCTCAAAGGTTCCCGCCGGTAGCGACCGCGCTATACTTTCCGGAAATCTTCCTCTAGGGCGCCAAGAAGCTGTTGGGCAGCGCCCGCCCGCGCGCGCCCGCGCTCTATTGAGCGGCCCGCCCGGAAGAAAACCTGAACTCCGGGGGCGGGGGCAGGAAAAAGAGAGGCAGAGGGCGCGGCGCGCATGTGCAGTAGAGAATAGTAGCGACGGAGAACGCGCCTGCGTAATTCCGACGCGACCCTTGACCGAGCGGGTTGAGTCTGACGCGCGGGGGCGTTGTTTGCGCACGCGCACCGTGCTTGGTGGAACAGCCTCCCCAACGAGGAAAGTAAATGGATCGGCGCAGCTTCTTCTTAAAGGGGCAGTGCCTTAAAGGGGGGGGGGGGGGGGGGCGGTGTCTCCCCAGAGGAGGAAGGCGCCGTAGCCACCAAGCTGCAGGGTGAAAGAGCAGAGGTAAGCTGGCGTGACGCCCCTTTTCCTGCCTTGTTTTTGGCTTCTTGCTCTATATAGCCTTTTCTCTCCTTTATCCTTGTCTTGGGTATTTTACCCGACTTAGAGAGCTGCAACCAACGCACGTTTTGGAGTAAGCGCGTCACTAAACATAAAAGTGTCTATTTCGAAGTAAACGTGCACGGGAATGGACTGACGTTCTCCACCCCCACCCACCCCACGTCGTACCAAATGCAAAGCTACTTTTTCTTAACAATTGGGGGCGGAATTCTCAAGGGCTTTAGTTTTGAAGTATGTAGCCCGCGGAAGAAAATAGTCAGAAGTTGCCTCGTAGAGAGCCGAGCTATTGGCCTAGTTAGCCTACTCTGATCTTCTCTGACAAACAGTAACTTTGCCCAATCGCTGGTCTGGAGTTTCCCCCCAGCCTTTTCCTGAGATGCTTTTTAGCCGGATAGTCTCAGGAATTGAACCGTATATAGAATGGATTACTGTTATCTCGTCTGGATCTTACCGAGGCATGTGCCACGATGGCCCGGTCACCTTCTTCCTGGAACGTCAGCAGCCTACTAGCCAACCTAGGCTGGTTAAATAGTGCACCTGGCTGCCTGTTTATTAAGGGCCAAAGAAGTCCAGGAGCGTCCCCAAGGTGCACTTTCTAGCATTTATATATGCCAGCCTAGCAGTTAGAAAGCGAGAAATTGCAAGTAGATAAATAGGTACCGCTTCGGTGGGAAGGGAACAGCGTTCCATGCGCCTTTACCTGCAGTGTTTTATATACATGATTGTGTTGTAACCCTTACAACAGCTCTCAAAGATGGGCTAGCCTTATTTTCCATGGGAAGAATTTGAGGCTGAGGGAGTGTGTCTTGCCTAAAGCCAGCGGGTGTGTTCATGTCAGAGGTGAGATTTGAACTAAGTCCTAACGGATCATAGCTCCACTCTCTTGGCTGCCGCACTACTCCAACTCATGTTTAGAGGTCTTTATACGTTTCCCCATTTCTAGAGTTTGTGGTTTATTATTTACAAGTTAATAATTTTTTTAAATAACAACCAGCATTTTGTCCCTGGAAGAGAAGCAATATGCCTACATTCATATAATTCACCCACCCTCCCTTTTTATCATTGAATCCCAAGCATTTTTTTTGCGAGAAACCTGCTTGCCGATTCTAATCTTGTTTTTTGTAACCCCTGGAAAGCACACCATTTTGGAAGTCATTCGCTTGCCTGAGCCCTGTGTCCTTTAGAGCTGGGAGGGAAATCAAAAGTGAAGTCCAAACCCACAACCCTGTTTGTCACCGTGGCCCGCCATTTGTCTGTGTGCATGCCAGCTCACCTTTCCATCCTGGATCCTGTTTCGAATGCCAGAACTGAATTTAAAAGTTTATTGTGACACCAGAATGCATTTGAGCACATGCAGATTGTCCATGCCTATAGTAAAGGTAAAGGTTCTCTTGCTCGAAAGCCAGTCAAATCCGACTCCAGGGTTGCGGTGCTCATCTCCGTTTCAAAGCCGAAGAGCCAGTGCTGTCCAAAGATGTTTCCGTGGTCATGTGGCCGGCATGACTAAACACCGAGGCGCACGGAACACTGTTTCCTTCCCACTGAAGTGGTACCTATTTATCTACTTGCAATTTCTTGCTTTCGAACTGCTAGGTTGGCAAGAGGTCCATGCCTATAGTCAGCCCCATACTCATCTGAAACTTAGGGGGCTTGGCTTCAGGTCAGAATGCAGCTGTTCCGGGCAGCCGAATGCCAGTATCTCTGGTTCTATAGTTTAATTATCTGTCCTCTGGCTTCCTCTCTTTCTGTCCCCCAAAATGCAACATCAGCCTCTCTTCTTGCATGCTCCCCGTGCATGACCACACTGGGAGGATCAGAAGACAAAAGTGTT